TGATCCTTGAGGTCTTTTCCAACCTTTATAAGTCCTTACTTCAGTGGACTGTTCTTTCCAGTTCCTTTTTCAGATGATGGAAAAAAAAATAGCCTTGTTTCCTCCTGATGGCTTCTCGGTGTGGGTAGTTTAATTTTCTAATGATTTGCCTTGTAGTAGTGTATTAATCACCTGCTGACGCTGTTGTGAAGGGACAGTTCAGGAATGGTTGTTGCCTGGATCCTCCAGGAAGACAGCAGTGACTACTGTGTTAAATGTGTTACCCAGGGAGCCTGCTGAGCAGAGGGCAGATAGTGTCTTCTGGATGACACGTGCTAATCCCGTGCTTGTTGCTGCTAATTCCATGGTGTGTTTTTTGTTTCCCATCTGCCCCCACACAGTCGCATTAAGAAGGTGGTTTCCATTTACGGCAGCAGCATTGATGTGGAGCTGCAGCAGCGGGCAGTGGAATATAATGCACTTTTCAAGAAATATGATCACATGAGGTAAGTGCTGATGAGTTTTGGTGTTTGAAAAGGATTATTATAACCTACTGTGATCTCCTGTGTACCACCGTTTGCGCTTTGAGAGCTTTATTTTATGATTTTGGTGGGATTACAGAGGAAATAGAATCCCTTCCTCATCTGTAGAGTTTGTGAGTGTTTTAAGAACTTAATGTATCCCGGGAGATTGTTCTGTGATCAGAGAATTTCTCTGCCAAAACATCTGCAGTGCTTTGAGCTTAAACTTGCCTAATTTGTACTTCTAGGTGTTGAATCTTAGATTTGCTATCTGAGTAAGTGTCTGCAGGTAGCTTTTTCCGTGCTAGCATTACCACAGTAATTAGGTTAAAACTGATTTTAGAATGTCTTTGGAATAAACATGCCATCCATTGTCCTGTCCTCCTAAGCTGTGCTCTGAACTTGAGGTAATTCTTCCAATTTTTAGTACTTTTCTGTTTTTCAGAACATCTCTTACTGTATCTTCTTGTAGCATTTGTTTAAAATCTCAAATTCTGCATGGAAAGGCATACTCAGTGCATCACTCAGCATCCCTCTTTTACAATTCGTGAATGTGTTAACCTCCTTACACCTTATTGTTGAGAGGACCACATTCATCATTGCTTTGCTCAAGTGATTGTTTCTCTATGAGAAGTTAATCTCCTGCTTTGTTGCAATAAATAAAGCTGTAATTCTTTACAAAATAGTCATTGATCTGCTATGTGCAATGGTTAGTTGTCGATACATAGGAGCACCACAGGTTCTGTTTGGTGAGGATCGTAAGATTGGAGGAGATCTTCTGGGGATTAACTTTGTCCACCCTTGGGAACTTTTCATAAGATCCCATTGGATGGAGGAGCATCCATTTTAGAGCCTAGATGAGAGGACAGAGAGAAAATGGGTGCCACTGGACTAGATATTGCCTGTCTTTGTAGAGGCCTCCAAAACTTGTTTCAAAGGCTCTTCACAATGACTTTTTTCCATAGGTACCATCCTGTTCACTCTGTGTAGAATACAGCATCCTTTTTATTTCCTCTCTTCTCTCTTATGGCATCCATGCAGCAACTCAAATTGTTCTTGGAAAAGTCATGTTCATGAGCTAAGGCATGTGAGCTGCCTAGGGCTTCACATGGAGCCTATGAATGAGTGGAGAAAAATCTGGCATGAGAGGCTTTGAATCTGAACTGACCATTGCAGACACCAGTGTCTGGCAATCAGCTGGCTTTTGCTCAGATGGCAGTGTATGTTACTTATAGTTTTGGGAAGCGCTGCACTACCAAAAAGCATGTGAACTTCACTCAGTTTTACAAGAGAGCATCTGTATTTTTCCCCCCGGTATATTCTGGTGTTCGTTACAGTGTAAAGGTCAATGTTTAATAGTTTCTGCTCATTAAAGTTTTGTTCGTGGTCAAAAATATGCCCCGTTGTTGGGTTTCTTGACACTGGGCACTTTTTCAGCCCAAAAGATGTGTAGACAGTGTGGCTTACCCCTGTTCCACGCAGCACTTTGTGGCTTGATTTGCAAGGGTAATGGCCTTTCTTGTATTACAGACTAGTTCTCCCTATACAGGTTCTCCTAGTTTTTTGGTTTGCTGTCAGGGTTCTGGATCCCCTGCCTCTTCTTCAGTCACTGTGTCATTTCAGGAGGGTACTCTCAAGAGCTGAACTTCTCTTTGGAAACTTAATTTGGCTAAATGAGAGCATGGTGATTTGCTTTTCCAATGTTGTCACCTGTTTGGAGCTGTTAACCCTTCTGCAAAGAGAAGTCAAACGAGCTGACTCTCTGACTCAGCTGCATATGGAACAGAGCAGTCAAGTGTCCCCTGTCTGCAGTTAATCCACCATTGCTCAATTATTTAATCTTTGTCTTGGGTTTGTTATCCTAGCCCCACAGTGGAAACTGTGTCAAGTACTAGGGGAAAAGAGGAGGCAGGAGGGCTTGTTTGGCTGTCAGCTGTCAACTCGTGTATTTACACTAGCACCGAATGCCAGGGATTGCTTCTGACTGCCTCAAGCTGTCATGCAGACTTCACAGTTCCCCTGCACTGGAGCTAAAAGGAAAAGGCAGGTTGCCCTGTGTGTATCATCTCCTGAATGTCTGAGTATTTGGATTGGGATCCAGGAAGATGGCACAGTGTAACTATGTCAGCTTCTTTCAGGCCAGCCCTGCTTGAGAGAATGCCCGTAATGGAGAAAGTCACCACAAATGGCCCTACTGAGATTGTACAGACCAATGGAGAGACAGAGCCAGCGGTACTGGAAACCAAACCTCCGCCCTCTGGACTGCCGCCTGCTAGCCAGGTAACGGAAACTAATCCAGGATGAGTTTCCACTGCCGTCAGACCGCACTACTAGCCACTGCCAACAGCAAGCTGAGACCATCTTCCTCCCCCTCGCTGCCTCTTGGCCAGTCTGGCCTGGTGGTGATGGCACCATCTCTTTACTCTGGTGGCTCTAGTGTCACGAACAGGCGTGTGGAAGAGGTCATTGTGGGGAGTGCAAGAGCTGGGTGGGGTTAAGCCATGTATTCCCAGCCTGTCTCGGTGTGCACAAACTCCGTCCTGCTCTACCTCTGTGATCCCAAGAGCATGGAAACTAGATCTCTCGTGGGCCACGGGACCACAGCCACACTAAGCACCTCTCTGACTGGCCAGCAGCTCTGTTGGTCTTCAGTCTGAAAGCAGGTATAATCCATTACATTTGCAAGGGAAAGTAGCAAGAAATTGAATATGTAACTATTACATCCACTCTCATTAGGCAAATGATTTGTTGGACTTGCTGGGGGGAAGTGATATAACGCCTGTAATCCCCACTGCACCTACAAGTAAGCCAGCCTCTGCTGGTGGGGAGCTCCTTGACCTCCTGGGAGACCTCAACCTAACAGGTGAGCAGGCTGCATCTCTTCAAAAGTGCATGTTCTCAGTCCTGGGGTGGGATAATGGCTGACTAGTCCTTCAGTTTCTATCAGGTCCTAGTCTTACACTTGCTCATAGTGAGATCCATATTAGCATGCAGCTGGGAGTCGGGGAACGAAGTCACAGGTTGACTCTGCATGATTAGCTGGTGAGACGTGAGCATTTTCACGCTCCAGCCTGGGAAAGCTGTGAGCCTTTCCAGAGAGGTTTGGGAGATGTGAGGAATTAATTCAATGTAGATGCCTGCTAGCGCAAGAGGAGACAGTCCTTGTTAGTGAAAGCAGAGAAGGGGGAGGATGACAACACAGATGATTTGTAGAGCTTCATGTAAAGAAATATGTTTTGTAGCAGTTGATCTTTGGAGAAGGAGTAATCACTCTTCATTTTGTGACAGCGAAGTAATAATCCTTCAACATTTCTTGTAGGTTCTCCAGTATCTGCCCCTGCGCCCCAGATAGCACAGCCTCCGTTCCTGCTTGATGGACTTTCATCTCAGCCTCTCTTCAATGATATTGCTGCAGGTTAGGGACATGTGAATCCTTAGGCTAAGGTGCCACAGCAACCAAATAGAAGAGGAAACAAGGGGTAGTAAAAAAGGAGGGGGATTTGTGAGCAAAGTGTGGCACAAACACTGGAGCAGGAGGAAGGGGTGTGTTGAATCTTCAGAAGAGTTCACGTCTGGGGTAAAGTAAATGTCTTCTGTGATGTTGAGAATGATCTCCAGATTATGTAAGTCTACTGCTTTTTTGTTTTCTACAGGAATCCCCTCAATTACTGCATATAACAAGAATGGGCTGAAGATTGACTTCACCTTTGAGAGGTCAAACACCAACCCCAGCGTCACTGTAATCACGATACAGGCCTCCAACAGCACAGAGCTGGAGATGACAGATTTTGTTTTCCAAGCTGCAGTACCAAAGGTAGAGCCGCTTAGGGCAACTACAGTGATAGACAGGTTGAGGGCCAGCCGTAAATACTTCCTGCTCTGTACTCTTACGCAGACAGAAACTTGCAGCATGGTGAACAAGGCTAAGAGCTGTTAGTAGGTTCTCTTAGTGCTCAGTTTGGTCATCTCTTTCTAGTCTGAAAGTAAATGTTATAAATGTGATAGAACACCAGTTCTGATCAGATTGGACTGCTTCTGCTTGCACAAAATCTTGTTTAAAATCACCACTTTCTAGGAAAGTTGCTAAACCACACACAGAAAAATGTTGGGTAAAAAAATGTGAAGACAGTAATCTTTCCCTTTATTCCTAGTTAATTAGCTGCTTATAAAAGTTCAAATGAGTCCCTACATGGTGATTAGTGACAGTCCTCCTTTAAGCAGTGAATTATCTCCCCTTGCACTTAGCTGCAGTACAAAATATGGGAGACAGATATTGCCTCGCTTGTAGTAGAGCAAACCATTTGAGCAGGGTGTGATTGGAATGTTCTTCAAGTTTGGGAAAATACATTCACTTCTGGGAGTTTCACTTCTAGGAATTAGTAATGCTCTAACTTTAATTTGGGTAGGTTCCATACATGCTGTAGGAAGGAATTGGGGAAAAAACGGGTCTCCTGAAGTTAGAGGTGTGCTGAGCAGTCTTGACTGTTCTCTGTGTGCGACACTTGAAACAAAGCATCACTGCTGATCTTAATACACTACAGCAAGCCCTCACCCCCCAGTATTTGTACTGCCTGGATCTTACTTGTGTAGAAACAGGTGGGACAGTGAATATTTTGTTCTTGACAGATAGAGAATTGAAGAACTGGTTACTTGACGTGATTGTGGCTTTACATATACTGCCAGGGCCAGGGACTGAACTCTTAATTTCCCTTGCCTTCTCGCAATGCAAAAAAATTACTTCATGGTCTTACTTGATGAAGCATCAAATTATTTTCTCTTTGCCTTTTCTTCAGACATTCCAGCTGCAGCTCCTGTCTCCCAGCAGCAGTGTCATCCCTGCATTTAACTCGGGGACCATCACACAGGTCATTAAAGTCCTGAATCCACAGAAGGTGAGTGAGAACAGTTATTAAAGATGTTGTCTTTACTCATATTATCTGCATTTGGTGGCAGTCAGTTAGGGATGCATCTATGACGAGAGATAGGGAGTGATGGTAGTGACTTATGTGTTTTTAATGACAGTCATTTTGATTAGGGTTAGAAACAAGTTACAAAAAAAGACAGGAGGTCCTGGGCACAGGTTTGGCTTTCTATTTGGTTATACTGCTAGAACAGATTCACAGGTTTGCTGTCCTCTTGAGTTCATGAATGTCATTTGCATCAGAATGGTTGTTAAACAAGTTTTTAGGTGGCCTTTCTAGAGGAGCTCAACCTCCTGTTTGTGTGTGTTGTAGAAGTGATGTCTGAAAGGCAGGCCTCTTGCCATGTAAATACGTTTAACATTCACTTTTGCTGTCTGCAGCGGTGTTACTTGAAATGTTTGTTACACAAAAAAATAACTTGATCCATAGTCTCAACAAAATTGTAGGTTTTCTTGAGCAGTGCAATTTGTTTTTCATGTGATGAGTGTAGTTTTAAACAGTTGATGGAAATAATCTCTAGGTGTGATTTAATCACAATTCCATTTGTTTTACAGCCTTCAGAGACAGGCTTCAAGACTGAGATACAACAGACTTGAGGGGAGGGAGAGGTGTGGCCCACATGTCCTCCTTAAGAGGCTTTGCAAGTATTCAGATTGCATCAGAAAGAAAAATTGAGATCACGTATTTCTTCCTCTGTGGGACACTCTTAAGATCTTAAACATCTTTAAGAACTTAAAATATCTTAAGCTTTTCATTGGCTAATCCTTATGTACTGCTCTAGATGGTAAGTGTTGCTGCTAGACTGATGTGCAAATCAGAAAAATTCTCAAATCTCAGGTGAAGGTTTCACTGAAATGTCTGTCTTCTAGCACATAGTTTTTGTGGTTTCCACACATGTCCCCATATGTCCATGTAGTGTGCTCCCCTCTGCCTGTGTTAGGGAACAAGACTAATTGTTCTCTTTGTTTTGTATACATCTGATATGAATTTCTCTGTGGTGCTGCAGAGCACCTTTCAAAGATGACCTTAAAGGTATTTTCTGAACATGGGAGGGTTTAGGAGTTCTGCTGAGGTGCCAGAAGTCACGATATATCCACCTGGGAGGGGCCCCACGAGGTGGAATACACCTAGGGAGTGGGATGCTTCCTTGTGGGAATGCCGGAACTCCTGTGAACGCTGCAGCATACACAGGTGCAAAACAGTATTCTGCTACCCTCCTCTGTGGCCCACTGTTTTCTAACTCTTACCCCTCAGGCTTTTATGCATCTCTTACTGTCCTTGAGAGTGCTACTGCCTGAAAGGACAGCTTTGCAGGAACCCTGCCCATGGGGTAGTGTAGGTACCCAGAGCACTCTGAGGGAGGCAGCCTGGGAGCAGCCTTGCTGTGTAGGAGGTAGCTGTTTGTCTTGTCAGTGTTGTAAAAAAGTCTGTTCACCTGGACATGGACTGTCATTGTGCTGGATTGAAACTGATGGCTGGTTTCCCAAAAAAACAGCAGCTATAACAAAAACTGACACTGGTTATATTGACCTATGTGTGATAAAGCATAGCTGCTTTATCCTGAGGCTGTCTGGAGCAGTCACTGTCCTCCTTTCCTCCCTCTACTATCCCTCTTGCATATTTCCCTCTCAGTATGGGGAAAAGAGCCATAAATGGACAAGTTTTTGCTTTTCCTTTCAGGATTTTTGTAAAACAAATTTTTTTGAGCATGATGTAGGGAACCTGGCTGGAGCGTGCTGTGCTCTAGGTGTTATTAAGGGCCGCTGAGTGTCTGGATGACAGCCAAACAACAGAGTGTAAAAACAGCTTCTGAGCTATTCCACCATTTACTCACAGCAGGAGGAAATGTTCTTAGAGACTCTGTTTCTAACCTTTCTTAGGTTATTTCCTTCATAGTGCTACTGAGCTATGCAATACCTGAAGTTTCAAGGCCTCTTGCTTTGAGTGAACAGACAGGACGGGACATGACACCTCTCCCTGCCAGCTGAAGTGCAGAGCAGCAGGGTCCAGATCTGCCTCCTGCTTTCTTCTGTTGTTAACTGACATTTCAAGGCAGTTATTTTTGTATTTAGGACTTGGGTGCTTGTGAGAGTAGGGCCAGTGCAGAGCGATGTGGGTAGAAGCTGTGCTACAGCTTTTCTGAGAGCTTGTACCTGATCTGAGAACTAGTGACCCATCGACACCTTACCAGATCGAGCATTTATCTGCAGCCTCATAGCTCACCCTGCACATCCTTCCAGCAAGCTCTTGTGGGGAGGGCAGGCCCGTGTTTTGTATTCATGGGGTAAGGGAGGGGAGCTGGATGTGGGGGGATTCACTGACCTTTAATGAAGACCTGAATTTGATTTGTGGTTTTTCTCCCTCCCTTTTCTCTTGTAGCAACAGCTACGTATGCGGATCAAGTTGACATATAATCACAAGGGCTCAGCAATGCAGGATCTAGCAGAAGTCAACAACTTCCCCCCTCAGTCTTGGCAGTGAGGCTCTGGCACCATTCTTATTTTCACCCCACCCAATCAAAAGAACTCTGGGAAGAAGGTTGTGATCCTTGGCAATCCCCCAAACTGCACCATGGGCATGGGGAACAGATGAGACCTGCTGATGAGGAGGAATTTTCCTGAAGTGATTGCTGACTTTGAAGCATATCTGTTAAGACTAATCTCATCTCCTCCGCTGATGAGGCTGGCGGCTTGTGGAGGCTACTGTGCACTCTCTCACACATGCGTTCACAGCCAGAAGCAACATTCCCTTCTCTGCCCCCCCCCTTCCCCTCCATTCCCCACAAAGAAACACAGCCTTGTTGGAAGAGAAGTCTGGAATTTCTAGCAGGGAAACTTTCTTCTCTCTGCAGCAAGTGAGCAGCTGTCCCTTCTTTCTGCTGTCTCTTTCCCCTGGGGTGGGCGAGGCATGTTGTCATTCATTACTAGCTGGATTCCTTCAGGCACTTTCGTATGGGGCTCAGACTGGGGACTTGGGGAATGTCAGGCTGCCCTGCCTCCTCCTCCTCGTATCCCCCATGTCTGAAGGGGCTGGAGGCTTCTTACAGCCTGTTCAGTGCATTATTGTATACACCCACCTCTGTTCTGTGATACCTACCAAGAGAAGCTGGGCTTGGGAGTTCCTCTGCAAACCTGGGACAGTGCAGGAAGAGAGGGGCTGGTGAGAGCTGATAAAATTGCTTTGGTGCTGTACTTGGAAATGAAGACTTTTCTTGGAATGAAGACTTTACTTGGAAATGAAGAATTTTCTTTCTTTCCATCAATAGCTACAGCCATGCAGATTCACAGACAGTCTTCTGTACCTTTCCCAGAAAGTGTGGTGATGTATGAGAGATGTAGAGATCCAAGGAGCAGCTGGTGCGCTACCACAGATGGTTTCAAAAGCCTTTTAACCCATTAGTGGTGGTTTATGGGTAGGAAAGATGTATTCAGTTTTGTAGATCAGTCTTTGAGGGCTCTGTTCCTGCTGGGAGACTCATCAGAAACTATGCTGCAAAGTTGCTCTTCCCAGTAATTCCAGACCTTCTCCCCAGTTTAATTTCCAGAGCCTGTTGTAGACCTCCTGGATTCCATTTGAGTTACTTCTGACTGGGATATTTGTGTTGTGTCTGTAATATTGGCACTGAAATAAAGACCATGCGGTTTAAAGAGACCTTTTCCCTTTTTGTTACTTAATTGATCCTTGTAGTTTGCTCCTTGCTCCCCTTTCAGAGAAATGTGCTAGCGCAGGTTCAGACTGAAAGCAACTAAACTGTTTTTTGAATGGAAGCCAGGCATTTGAGTATTTGGATCCAACGATGCAAGGTCCAGTGCTCTTGTAAACTTCCAGAAAGCTGTGTTCAGTTACGCTTCCTAGTGAGAACTGTTGTCAAGGTGGTAGAGTTCTGTGGATTCTTGTAGAGGCCGTGTATAGGACATAAAGCACAGTGTGACAAACTATGCGGATGTTCAGCGCTCTTCAGGGAGGAACAGGGGAGGATGTATCTTGGAGTGTGCTGATAACTGGAAGGGACTCCAGCTTCCAGCCCAGGGCTTTCTCAAAAGAAACAGATGGCACGTTGGCTTTGTTCCTGCAGTGGGGCTTTCCAGATAGCGATCATTCCGTGCTCTGATGGCAAGCCTAGACACGGCTTCGTGTGTCCGCAAAGGTGCGAGCACTGAGCTCTAGCCCTTGCCAGAAGCACTGCAGGAGTGGTGCACAGTGTACCTGGGGAAGATGGAACACCTATTCTGCCCTTGAATCGGGAGCTTTTCTGAGAGCTTGTACCTGATCTGAGAACTAGTGACCCAGGTTGTTGTTCAGTCTGCTTTGGTTTTAACTGCATTAAGTGATATGATGTGGGACTGACAGAAGTGCTGGTCTGTGTAGCGGAATAAGTTTAGTTTCTCCTGGAGGGTGTTTTTGCTGCCTTATTGATTAAACAGGTTTGGGCATTTGAATTAGCAAAGAGCTTTATTATTCTACTGGAACTGGCATCAGCATGGGGTTATAAAATCCAGAAGAATGATGTATGTAATTCTGGGTTTTGGCAGGATCATGCCTTGGCTATCAGTGGCAAGTTAGATACTGTGCTTTGGCTAGAAAGAAGCACCATGAAGCACTCAGTCTTGCAGAAAATGGCTGAGTCGAAGTCCATGTGCAGGTACTGAGCCTTTATCTTTGTTGTTTTCACTGCAGTTGTGACTATTCACTGCCCCACTAGCTCCCACTCCTTAGTGCTGAAAGCTGAGACTCCAGCGAGCTCTGAGGGTGTCCCAGATACGAAGCTGAGGGAAAGTCTTTGCTGGAGTTCCTGAACACCCCGTAAGCTTTCCTGTTCTCACAGAACTGTACATGGTCACTTGGACTGAAAGCTGGCACACCTCAATCTCCATTTGTTTTTGCTGAGAAAAGAGCACTGGTGCAGGAGGGAGATGGGGAGAAAAGTAAACAGTCTCTTCCTTGGCCAGTTTGTCGCAGCATAGTTGGGAAACAGCTCGACTCATCCCTCTTGTTGCACTTGTTTTCTGTCCCTAAAGCAGCTGGGCGGTGTTGGTCTCTGGTTTTTTTTTTGGTCTTGGCTCCTTCAGCCGCCCTTGCACAGGGTGTTTGGGAAACGGGTGCTTTGTCGGGTATTTCTGAGTTGAGCTGAAGGAGGTGGTGCGTGTGCCTGAGATCCATTTTGCTTGAAGCCATCCCTTGGCTATGAAGTACTGCTTTGTAGCAGCCAGACATTTCTGTTGTCCTCGGAGCACCTTCCTGCCCCTTGCTGAGGGATGGGCACTGACATCATGCCAGGAGGGCTGGGTGTCACATGTTCCCATATCTGCAGCACCAGGTACCACTGCTTGCTCCCTGACCTCTACGTGCTTCTCAAGCTCTTGCTGCCGCTTTGTCTTCTCACTGGAGAGTACTTGCACGTCCACGTCTGAGGCACTCGGAGGATAGGGTGAGTCTTTTTTCCACCAGGTGAATGAAACAGTTCTCACAGGTCTGGTCAACGTTTTCCTTGCTTCAGTGTGAGGGGAATATAAAGGGAGCAAAATACAGACTTCATGGCTAATTTACTGATATGTGCATTGGAGACTTTGCAGCTGACAGAGACTGAATGTCTGTTTTTTTTAAGTGAATGTATTTTGAATCAGAAAATGACAGAAAGAGTAGTGGCCATAATGGGCCTGAGGGGGAGAAGATATGGGAAGGTCCTAAGATTTGACTTTGTCTGGGTTTTGATGGGACAAAATATGGCCTTGAACAACCTTTAGAAGCAATAGCAGCGAGGGGACTGCCGCCTATACAGTACCTGGGATATATAACTCAGAAGATGCTGAAACAGCTGGGAAAGGTGACTTGGTGCCTTCCCCGAGGCTGGTACTAGCTGCGAGATGGAGCAGCAAAGATGGCTTTTTTTTAGATCCGCTGGTGCGCTTTCTATGTGTTCATTTTCTACTTGGGGGCTGTGAGGGAAGGAGCTACCAGACTGCTTCCCTCTGGACTTTCACTCTATTCCTGTATATTCCTTTTTCTTTCCTGATGTTGTAATTTACATTTTACATAGAGCCCCATCCCACCTCTTTGACAGTGTAGTGAAAAAAAACAAAAAACAAAAAACAAAATCCCAAACCAACAACAACAACAAAAAGCCCAAACCTAAAACAAAACCCCAACAAACCCAACCAAATTTAAAGTGAAGACATGCCATTTGAGCAGGGATCCTGGTGGCATTCAAACTTCTGCAGACCTATTTTTGAGATGTGAAAAGTTTAAATAAATGCCGAGTCTTGAGTGAGGAGCATAATGGATGTAAACATTCACATGGGATGCATTAGACTTCTGCTGTGTGTATTGTCTTTTGGTTGAAACAAATTATGAAGTGACTAATAAAATGAGTCAATATTCAATGATTTAAAACTGTGTCTTGTTGCTTTTCGGAAGTACAGTGGGAGAGGACTTGCTGATTCTTAATGTTTGCTCAGGACAAGGTCAGATGATGTGAAATAATCCATAAGGGCAGAATTTGAAAAACTTCCCAGGAAACTTTGGAGAACAAAATGAGCAGACAATTACAAAATGCTTAAGCAGTTCATGTGAAATATCACCCTGAAAGAGAGCTCATCAGCTACCGGCAGCAGTACCTGTCCAGGTGCTAGGAAGCCGTGATGAGATCTTGAACACAAGATTTTCTTTTCCCTGGTGTTTGCAGCCTGCCCTTGGCGTTGGTTCCGATTCCCTTGCTGGTTAAAAAGCTCCCATTTGTACTCCCTGCCTCTGGGATGAGGGCTGTTGTGATCTCTGTGTCCATTCAAGCAATACCCCTGCCGGCTGTGAGGTTCTTCCTTGCATTGTCTGCTCACAGTAACAGTTTGTTGATAACTTTTGTGTGTTTTCTAACCTAGAATTGCACTTCTCTCTGCAAAGCACAATCTCCTCCGTAGTGCCACCTCTCCTTCCTTGATGGAAATTCTCTTGAGGCAAAGCAGTTAATGATCTGCAGGGCTGGAGCTGGAGATCAGTGTCAGCGTGCCTTTCTGGTGAAAACTTGATTTATTCTTAAGGTCTTATCAGCCCTCCAGATAGTGGAGAATTCAGAACTAGTGTCGTGAGCTGCCCGCTCAGGCAGCGGGGACCTGGTTCTGCTGCCCCTCTCCCTGCCCAGCAGCGGATCCCTGGTGCTGCCCCGCTGCCCCCGCACCGCTGGTGTGGGCCAGGAGGAAGGCGGGGAGCGTTCAAAGGAAACGGTACCGAGGTTCGGGTGGGGTGCGGCGATGACACCAGGGGTGTCTGGACCGGGCTCTGCAGCGCGAAGGGAACCTTGTCCCTGAACGGGGGAAGCGAGGAGG